GTCGTGCCGCATTTGTTAAAATGTTGGGCGGGACGCAGTAATATCCCGTTTGGAGGTCCGAGACCTCCTAATCTCCCGTTTTGAGTATGTAGAATGTACATGAAAAATATCAAAACTATTCAGTGGCGGTGCGTGCACGCCATCAGACCAAAATAACTGGACGAGCATGAGTTGGGCAGCATAGTCGACTGCGTAGGTAGGCAGCACGGTACGAAGATCTTTCACCACAATAAAAGAGAGGAAAGAAAGCGATGATCCAATGTTAGTTATTTTAGTGGAGAACTCGTGCCTCAAGTGCAGTTGGGTAAGAAAATCATGTGTAAACGGTGTAAGATGACTACTCATTTGGAGAGCGCTTTTCCATTAATTAAGAAGGTTACACGTGACAAGAACTGATACGTTCTTGGTTGCATAAGCAAATCCGAATATTCTATTGCTCACCGTGGCCCATCAGATGTCACAAATCACCAAAAATCGGATCGTCAAAACGTAGCCGTGTCTGCGGCAGCAAATTCTACCCCAGAAACCCATTATTTCATATCAGCGAGATTTGAAAACCCAGCAGCCAAGATAGTAGCTGCAGAAGGTATCTTCACTTATCCCGCTGTATTGCATAACCGCATCTTCCGTTTCATGGATTGCATCAGAAAGTCGGTAGCGAAATTGTTTGAGGTGAAGTTAGGTTGTGCCCGCAAAAGTAGCAGACAATAAAAACCATTATCCAGTTCCCGATTGCCAGCGACCAAATTCAAGAAAATTTACCGAAAGCAAGCTTCAGGTCAGTATTCATAGACGCCTCAAACCACAAGGAAGTAAAATTATTCTCAATCCTTATAAAATATTTTGTGCCGTCATCGGGTATTGAAGTAAACTTCTTAAGTCTGAATTCACTTAATTATGACACACCATACATTAATTCTAAATTTAAAATGAATACGTTGGAACAACATAATATGACCAGGCAATTATGGGATTTTGTTCTGCGAACGCCAACCGAAATTCGCCTAACGTTCGAAGAAAAAGACGATACAATGTATATGCGTAACAAGCATCTTCGATTAAACCATTCGCGTGGGGATTAGTTGCGTGGCCCACATTGTCAACAAAACATTGCAAACGGCGGCTGACTGTCTTCCCATTAATGTTGAAATCGTTGTGGTAAAAGATATACTTACCATTACTTAGCACTGTTCAGGTTGTAAGAATAAAGGAATGCTGTGAGCCTGCAATGGTAATACATTATGACATTCTGGAATAAGAGAAAACTATATGGCTTCCATTTTTAAATGCAGATGAGAGGATCCTGGACCCTGTCAGCTTTGAAATCCTAATATCCGTCTCGATATCAACGTTCCACAATAATAAAACTATTCTTTGTAAATCACTGCGCTGAGCTAATGCTCTTCTGTACCAACAGCATCTAATATTTATCAAGATACTGTACTACAAATTGCGAAAAAAATTTCGGCACCGGAAGTGTCGTTTACAATGTACGAACTAATGCAGAAGTGCATGGAGGGGGAGCGGAAACAGCTTTGTTCCAAAAGAGGCAAAATCCGAAATGGTCAAATTACCTAAACGTTTCTCATCAGAAAAATATAAGTAATGAATTCAAAGTTGCTTTTGGTGTGCCGCCGTTGGAATTTTAGTTGCAATCTATATTCAGACCTCAGAGTCAGGGTTGCGATGCGCAACACAGAACCACCTCAAGAGGTGATGAATATGATCACCAGCTTCTGCGATAGCTGCATCGATTATTTACAGACAAGCATAACCCAACTGCAAAAACTGAGTGAATTCAGTTGGGTGGTATGGGAACAACCACCGACCTGAGATAAATTTGAAGCAAACCGCAGTTTTTTGGAATCCAAACTATCAGGCCTGGAAATCAATGACAACAAGCTGTTTGACAAAGTTAACAATGTTTGTACCTTAGCGTCAGCTGAGTAAATTCCCGATTAGAACAGTAAACAAATAATAGTGGACATGCAGTGAGGAAGTGTTCTTCCATTTCCGGGCCATGGGAACAAATAAAATTGCTCTGTCTCCCTGAAAGAATCGTCACATAAAAGAACACTGTATGGAAAAGTGAGAAAAGGCAGCTTAGCGTTTAAACACTGAAAACGATCCATTTAGTGAAATACGATTTCGAGGATAAGGGCACCAGGTATCTCTGCCAACGATATTATGACATGCTGATGCAGCCCCAGATCCGCTACAGAAGATATATTCGGCTTGAAGTATTGTTTGACAAATGGGGTTCCAGATGCTTCAATACCAAGCACCACATCAACTTCAATAGCGCAGGCATTGTACTGACTAATGACTTAAGTACTCTTTATTATTGCACTTGAGTAATACACGTATAAATTTAGCTTTTCAATCTCTTTTGTACGGTCAGCATACGCTAAACAACGGAGGAAATTAAGTGTTTCGCTTTGGTCGACGAGAAGTATGGCCACTTTAATTAATCCACTTATGAATGACGTAGGCAGACAAAACTTTGCACGACAAGTTAACTGCTATCGGTTCAGCTTTGTTCATTGTTGTCTTTCCTTTTCTTTCGACGAACACACCTTAACTCCTTGTGGGACATGTTAATCCTAAGCTTTTTTCTCCGCACAAAACCACTGAGCATACTCCTTTCTCTAGAGAACCGTAGAGTAAACCAGCTGACAATATTCCTAATTTCACCAGACCGGCTGCTTGTAATCTAATCCACTCGCGACGACATATTGCCATTCTGCGTACTTGCAGAACGAGGAGGAAGGTAATATAGTTTCCGGTCAAACATCTCATTTGTAAGAAATTTGCAAGGCTGCAATCAAATATCTATCACATGTCTAATCCATCCAACCATCGGTGGTTATATTATTCGGCACGGAAGTTGTTCTGTCTATCTCGATCAGATTTGACCTGTGTGGTTCATAGTTAGACGAATTGGTTGGAATATACTTATCTGCTACCTCACGCTCAGCTTATACCTGATATTCCAGTGTATGAAGAAAAATGTTACCTGGAGCGAATTGTATCAATTCTGCTGCGACGGAGGTCGTTCTACTCCCCATATTACTGACAACTTGACTCGGAGATAAAACGTTAGCTTGTATTGCGCCTATAACAAGCCTATCGAAGTAGCCTGAAGTCCAACAAGACAAGGCAACTTACTTGCGCCTCTCGTATAGAGCACCTTGAAATATCAAACCAACAATCTTCTCACGCACCTGCTCCGTGCATCACCTGCGCCCTAGCCTAGGACATGTACTTTGCTCGGTCACACAAGACGCTTGAATACAGTTCAGGTTTGAACCCGATGTTCAGGAGATGCTCTCTGCGCGCCTACGTACCCGTTTCTTCTGGGACGTTGCGCACTCCAGCACATGTCCCAGACAACCCGATTGGTCAGGGAGAGCGCACGCGGCAAACCGTGCACCAGTAGAGGTCCGTTTAGTAAGATCTCAGTTGCCGTCCACTAGAGTTGGAACATGCTGTTCTCAGCCAATTCCAACATTCTTCTTAACTACCTCCAAAAGCTTGAGTATTCTGCGTGCTACGAGTGTTTAGTCTCAAGGCTATGATGAATCCTATTGCTTGCTACTCATTTTGCACGCAGAGCGACTGTGGATGAAATGCGGTCACTATCGGATGGTAGCTACCGAATAACGGATGAGGGCTTATGCAATATGCGTGATGGCTTCTGCATTACAGATAATAGCTGATGCACAAACTATGCAAGAATTCATCAGCTAGGTTTGCAACTGGGGTAGCTTATTGCATGCTAAATGGTAGGTCCTAATTGTTCGTCCCCAAATAGGCTACATACAACGGTTGCTGAAGGAAATCATTCACTTTACGATGACTCAGCTTCTGCACAGAGAAAGATACCCAACGGTCTGAACCTTGATTAAGGTCATCATGAGAATATAAATCTGCTATAACGTTTATATCTTGTGGTTTCGGGTTCTATATTTTTCGTTTTCCGAAATATCTGACTGGTTTATATCGCTTACTTGCGTATATGATATCAGACGCAACTAGTCAACAAAACTTGCCCTTTGTCTTTTTTGTATGTGCGCGTTGCTTGGGTCCTAAGGCCGGCTAAATCGCTTAGTAATTGAGTTGTTGTCAATGTCATTCCCAGGGGAGTTTTCCGGCTTGGATTCTTGCGCTAAAAGATCTCTTAAAATACCTGCTCAACAAGCAAAGTATTCCGGAATATCATTGTCAAAGGACTTTTATGTTTGGTTGAGGAGAAAGCGAGCATTCTTTCTGAATAAGTGAATAGATAATATCCATTTTGTCAAGCAGCATTTCACAAAAGGCCGTCTAAATACTTACTTATAACACGAATGTTTATGTTAATGGCTACATGAATGTGTCACACTGCATAAGACATCGTGTTTTTTGTAAGGGGAGTGTTAGTTTGATTTTTGAGCTGTTAGTTTATGTCCGCCTAGGATTCCTTGTACAATCAGACGCTCTCAATATCTCTTTTGGAAAAAGGTTTAAAAGGATTTTGGTAGCCTACGCAAAAATTATGCCAACGGTTGGCATTGGTTTCTTTTGCTTCTCTTTCGCGTTGAGAGGAAATAAATAAACCAATTCGTGGGCTTACCGACGATCGATGTCAGGCCCCATACTAAGGAGTGATTATATTATTATTAAAGTGTCGCAACTAATCTATTCTTCACTTGTGCCATGTGAATTATGACCTTGTTATTTGAGCTTTGTATGAATGTTATCGTTAGGATTGATTGAGTGTGCCAGCAGCAATAGACGTATACCTAGGTGAGAAATATAAACAATTCCAGAAGCACATTTCAATCAGTATGACTTAAGATGGTATGGGCAGCAGCACTTTTATTCACTGATGTGGTACAAAAATTATTTGAGGTTTCTCTTAAAGTCATACATTCTATGAAGTACGAGGTGAAAAGGATTTCCATTCAAAGTTTTTGAATCACTACAGGGATGCAACCACATGGTCAGTGGGCTTTCACTTAAAGATTGTTAACGTTCCACACCACTGATGCATTGAAAATCTCCTTTGTTTCATTGACTTCACTATGCGTAAAATGAGGGTTCCGGTTCTTATATCGAGTATTAAACTCTTCAGCTGATAAATAAAATGATGTTAGCTGCAAAATAACCTCACTGCACTTACGCGACAAATATAAAAATTTTTTATCTCCGACTTCAAATGTGGATGAGGAGTCTTCCTGGAGCTTTTTAAGGCGATCATTAAATTTTTTGCGTAATCCTTCCACATAATCCTCAAATTCTTTGACTTCGCCACCATTATTATCCTAAATGGTAGAGTTCAGTTGAGGAGTTCATAATGTTTCTAGACAGATACCTTCATTTTCACAATGCCTTTAACTTGTTTTGGAGGAACAATAATAAAACATCAGCTCTTATAATTAGATCATTTTATTTGGTTGGCGAAAATTTTTCAAATAAATGCCTAATTTTAAAAACAGCAATTGGTTTTAACAACATCTAGATGTTACGTAGAAACAAATTGAGGTCCTCTGCAGCTAATCTTAGACGGGTCGCATCTGCTCATCTTGAGACAGCACAAACCACGCTTGTGGATTAATTAGAGAAAACACACGGTTATTGTCCGTCATCGAAAAGTTGTCCCTCTGTTTCGTATTACATTCTCTTGGTTCTGTAAAACCACCGTTGATCGCACAAAAAGGATTGGGTTGTCTCGTCTAGAAAAGTCACTGATGAACAAACAAGAGGAGGTGGCTGTTACTCGTGACCCCGATAAGTATGTTGTGAATATGTCGGTTTTGAAGCTTAATGCCTTACAATCGGAAGCATTATCATTTTGCATAGATTACAAAGTTCTTGCTAGATGGTTAGATGAGTTTCTTATTGAATCGCAGTTTGAAAACTTCTTTGATCGGGTGAAAGATCTACAACCAGTCAGTGCCGATAAGCTCATACGGTTTAGAAACAAGCTGACAGATATTGCTTATGATACTTGCTTTTGATACACGAAGTTGGCACGCCTGACGGCAGACGTAAAAGCGAAGCTCTTCGCTTGATTTCTACGTACAGTCTCAACAGATCGCCGACTATTATACACCGATTGATCCCGTTTTGCTTCCTCTTTCCAAAATCGGAACAAGTGATGAAGGATATCTGACGGTTATCGCAAAACTCTGCAAAATCTTTCAAATCACTCTGCGCTCCGCTCTGCAGTGGATTTTTCCTTACACATCTCAACGTACATCAACCAAATTCCAATCATTTGGCTCGGAATTATCAGCTGTATTCAACAGCCACTTGGCCAGCTCCATACCATCGCAATCTGCAACTCTTGGCGGTACTTTGCGCTATATTCCCTAATGCGACCAACAAATCGGCTTTCCCACCATCGGACCCTAGCTCCATCGTGCGGACTACATCTCACCGACAACTGACCCTAAACGGCACTGATCAATAGACGCGACTTTTCTCTCACCTCAAAGCCACTCGATCTTGCGTGCGTGTCACAACGTGTGAGCGAATCACCTAAACGTCAGATTGTCATTTACCACCCGCCCGGGAGCGTACTCCATAGACCCGTGCACGTAGACGAACAAACGTGACTAACAAACTGCGCAGGTGACAGAGAAACCAAAGAACTGCCCCATAAGCGAAAACAACCAGGAATTTAAACCGGTTGGTTTGCACCAGTTTATTAGTAAAAACTGCGCCATATTTTTTTCTCGTCCCCCTACGGTTGTATTTCTATTCAACACTTATTAGAATTACACTCAGCACCATAACATTCTTCCGAGTACCCACTAGAAATACCTGTTAACAATGTGAAAACGAGAAGCGCCATCCTCAGTCTGAAATTGACCCAGCCCCCCCCCCCCCGCGGCCGAGCGGGCGCCGCGGGGATCGCTGCCCCCCCCCCCGACCCGCCGCCCGAGGGCGGCCCGGATCACCCCGGCCCTGCCCCCACCACCCCCCGCGGCCCCGGAGCCACTCACGGGCGGCTGTCCGTCTCGGCAACCCGGCGGCTGTGCAAGCGCCCGGTGCCGTTGCCCTGTATATAGGAGATAAATGGCGCTCCGGTGCCCCGGCCCCGCCCCCCCTCCCCTAGGCGTCCCGGGGCCCCCGCGATTGCCGCCCGGGGGTGTGTTTGTGTAACGGGGCCCCCCCCCCCCAGGCTCCCCTCGGGGGGTTGTTGTTGTCTATTCTCTCTTTTCCCCCCCCACTGCGTCTCACCCCCGACTGCGCCCTTCCCGGAAAAATCACGCCCTCCACCAGTGCTCGATGGGCCTGCCCCCCGGCCCCCCTCCGGAGGCCGCTACTCCCGGGGGCGCTGCTGTGGCCCTCGCCTATGTCGTTGTCTCCCCCCCCCCCCCCCCCCCCCCCCCCCCTCCCCCTGCCCCCGTGCGCCGGCCCCCGCCCCGCCCGCTTCGCCCGCCCCCGCCGCGCCCCCCCTCGGCCCGCCCCGGACGCCCAGTTTGCTCCCCCTCGCCGTGCGCCCGCGTCCCGGCGGACCCTCCGGCCCCCCGGCCCGCCCGCCCCCCCCCGCTGCCCGCACCTTGCCCCGCGGTCCCGCCGCCCCGCCGCGGCCCGCTCCGCGCCCCCCCCCCCTGCCCCCCCCCCCCCGCCCCGGGCCCGCTCCCCGCTTTCCCCTCCCCCCCCGTGCGTGTGTGAGCCCCTGCCGGGGCGATATATATACCCCCCCTGCCCCCCCCCGCGCCCCCGCCCCCCGCGTCTCCCCTGCGTTCCCACCCCGCCGCTGCCGGGGGTCCGGCCCCCCCCCCGGGCGCCTCCGCCCGGCCCCCCGCCCGGCCCGCGCCTCCCCCCCCCACCCCCCCCAACCCCCCTCCCCCCGCGCCCGCACAGCCCGCCAGGGTGGGCCGCCGCCCGCCCTTCCACCCGCCTACGCCCCATGTCCCCCCCGCGCCTCCCGTCCTGACCCCGCCCGCGCCAGCGCCCGACCGTCCTCCCCAGCCCCCCCCGCCCCCCGCGCTCTCCCCCCCCCCCCTCCCACCCCCGGACCCCGCCCCCCGGTCCTCCGCCCCTTGCGCGCGCGCGGTCCCCCCCGGCGCTTCGCCCCCCCCGCCCCCCCGCCCCCCCCCCCCAACCCCCCCCGCCCGCCCGCGCCCCCCACCCCGCCCGGGCCCGCCCCCGCCCCCTCCAGCGGCCAGCCCGTCGCCCCCCCCCTGACACGGGCCGCCTCATCGGCCCCCCCCCCCCCCCCCCCCCCCCCCCCCCCCCGCCCCGCCCTCCGCCCCCCCCCCCGACGGCCCCCCTCCCGTCCCCTGTCCCCCGGCGCCCCGCTCGCCCCCGCCCGCGCCCGCCCCCCCCCGCCGCCGCGCGCGACCGGCCCCCCGCCCCGCCACGCCGCCCCCCCCGCCCCCCCCTCCCCGCCCGCCCCGCCCGGCCCCGCCGCCTCCCCCGCCCGCCCCCCCCCCCCCCCCTCCCCCCCCCCCCCCCCCCCGCCCCCCGCCCCCCCCCCCCCCCCCCCCCCCCCCCCCCCCCCGCCCCCCCCCCCCCCCCCCCCCGCCCCCCCCCCCCCCGCCCCCCCCCCCCCCCGCCCCCCCCCCCCCCCCCCCCCCCCCGCGCCCCCCGCCCCCCGCCCCCCCCCCGCCCCCCGCCCCCCCCCCCCCCCCGCCCCCCCCCCCCGCCCCGCCCCCCCCCCCGCCGCCCGCCCCCCCCCCCCCCCCCCCCTGCCCCCCCGCCCCCCCCCCCCCGCCCGCCCCCCCCCGCGCCCCCCCCCCCCCCCCGCCCCCCCCTCCCGCGCCCCCCCCCCCCCCCCCCCCCCGCCCCGACTCCCCCCCCCGCCCCCCCCTGCCCCCCCCCCCCCCGCCGCCCCCCCCCCCCCCCCCCCCCCCGCCCCCGCCCCCCCTCCCCCCCCCCCCCCCCCCCCCCCCCGCCCCCCCCCCCCCCCCCCGCCCCCCCCCCCGCCCCCGCCCCCCCCCCCCCCCCCCCCCCCCCCCCCCCCCCCCCCCCCCCCCCCCCCCCCCCGCCCCCCCCCCCCCCCCCCCCCCCCCCCCCCCCCCCCCGCCCCCCCCCCCCCCGGCCTCAGGCGCCGCCCCCCGCCCGGCCCCCGCCCGCCGCGCGGCGTGCCTCGCCCGGCGCGTACGCGGCCGCCCTGCCGGCCACCACGCCCTCTTTTGGCCCGCGCAGGACCCCCGTGCCCCCCGCCGGGGTATTTTGCCCCGGCGGCGTGGCGCGGGGGGGGTCGACCCATGCGGCCCCCCACCCCGGGCGCGGCCGCGCGCTCGGGACCCCCCCGCACACATTCCCCCCGGACGGCCCCCCCCCGCCGCGCGCCCTGCCGCCCCCCCCCCCGGCCGAGTCCGCCTCGCCCTCTTTGCGCTTGAGATACGCGTTCGCGCGGCGCGCTCCACCCGTCACGAGCTGCCGCCGGCTGCGCCCCCCCCACGAGCGCCGTTGCCCGCGTCCCGCAGCACGATCCGCGCGCGCGGTCGCCCTAGCGCTTGACGAACTCGACGCCCCCCCCGCCGACGCGCGCCGCCTCCGCGACACCGGCTGGGCCCCCCCCCCCCCCCTCGCCCCCCCCCCCCCCCCCTCCCCCGCCCCGCGGCCCCCCCGCCCCCCCCCCTGCCCCCCCGCCCCCCCCCCCCCCCCCCCCCCGCCCCACCCCCCCACCCCCTCACAACGACCGCCCACGCGCGCCGCCCCCCTGGGGCCCCCCCCCCCCCCCCGGCGCGTACCCCCCCAGCTCCGCCCCCCTCCCCACCCCCCCCCGCACGAGGAGACCCCGGCACTCCAGGGGGACGTATATATAGCCCCCCCCACCGGCACACGCCCCCCACCCCGCTGCCCCTGGGCACTCTTTCGTGTGCTCTTGTGTTCTCGTGGGCTCCCCCCCCCCACGCACTGTCGTCTTTATCCCCCCCCCAAAACCCCCCCCCCCCCCCCCCCCCCCCCCCCCCCCCCCCCCCCCACTCCCCCCCCCCCCCCCCCCCCCCCCCCCCCCCCCCCCCCCCTCCCCCCTCCCCCCCCCACCATTCGAGGACACAAGTAAATTCAAAGGATGTGTAGGGGTGCAGAGGATGTGGCCGTGTTAGAGTCTTGCATGACTCGTCAACTTAGATGTGCTTCATCTGCATCGTTGTGGTTGACAGTGATACTATGTGTACTGCTTGAAGCCCCACCGGCTGCCACTTCTCCTCAGCTATTACGGGCTACCGAACGTACATAAGTGTGGGGTGCACATCAGACCGATTCATCGAGGCTAAATGCCCCTTAAACATAAACTGGCTCGCTGAATGGTGAAATTGCTGTCTCCGCTTCGATAAGTGGGCCAATCTATACAGCCTCAAAGATTCTTTTGAGCATATCGACGACCTTGACATACTTAATGTATCCGACAAGTTCGTGTGCTCGTTAGAGGATGGAATTGCTCTTTCTCAATGTTCCCGTGCATCAAACTGTTGATTAGACCTATGAACTAGAAGAAATTGTGCGGTGTCCCCTAGCGATGCCATCTGTGCTACTAGAGACTTGTTGTTGTTTGTACTGGTGAATATGTCACATTTATTTCTGATACACACCTATACTGTCATATTGATGGAGTCGTGAGGGGCAGCCATTGGGCCCGGTACTTGCCGATTTCTTTATGTTAATGGTAGAGCGAAGTATGTCTTGAGAAATATTTTGACTTCCATGCTAAAAACACTACGTGGATGATATTTTGGCAATTTGTTCATCGGAGCATCAGATGGAGCAGTCGGTAACGCATGTAAATTCTGCGCAGTATAACGTGCAGGTCTCTTGTGAGACAGAGAAGCAAAATTGCCTTCCGTACTTGGATATCCTCATCAGCCGCAGAGAAAAACGGCCAATATAAGAGGTCTGTCTACAGGAAATCAACATGGTCCGGGCAGTATCAGCATTACACTAGCTTTCACATCAATGCGAATACAAGCGGGCCGCTCTTGAGAAACCCTGAATAGCCGCGCCCAAATGGATCTGCTCCGCTGATTGCCTGGCTGACGAACTGCAGTTGATTATCCAACCACGCTCATTGAAAAACGGCTGCCACGAAGGGTCATCGAGAAACATAATCAAAGTGCGACCAGGGAACCCTAGTTCCCACGGTACCTAAGGGACCTTGTAATCAATGAACTGCCATTCAAAGGTGACGTCTCCTCGTTGAGGATCACAGATGTCTGATCCTGGGCCATGCAGCGCAACTTGTATATGCCGCCAAGGTCGTTGTATCAGTAACAAAACCCAAAAACTGGCCACTTCCTCTGTAAAGGAAGCTAGTCTATCGGGGCAATCGCGTTGCACTTATCTCATTCTTTTGTGATCTGCGGCGCCGGGTACAAGAGGCAGGCTCCGATAAAATCATTGAGTTACCCGGATGAAAGAGCATGTACTCAGTGGTTCAACCTACGACCCGCGCAAGGAAACTGGCCAGGAGTCAAGCTGCTTTTTTGCGTAAGTGATCAGGCTCTTCGGTCCATCAACACTTATTGACGACAGGTCACCGAGTCCAGGTCAATTAGGCCTTCATAATCCTATTACAGCACACCGATTCTCGCCTTCTCTATTTTACAGAGCCGATTGCAATTAACCGGATTAAGCAGCTGCTATGTGTTCATAAACAACTATCGGTCAGCATCACACTGCACGGGGGAGAGGGGTGATAACTCTGTGTCGCTTATTGTGTGTTTGTCTGTTTTC